CAGACTTCAGACCAGACCCGGACCAAACTCACAATTGAGTCTGAGTCTGGTCTGAAGTCTGAAATTAACAAAATTAAGAGTCTGAGTCTGGTCTGATCCCAGACCAGACTCAGACTGGACCAGACTCAGACCAGACCTAGGAGCACTAGACAAACTATATCATTAATATCTGCTGTAGAATTTTAGCTAAAAATAAAATACTTTATTCATGAATAATTAAAAACAAATTTGAACAAGTTACTGAATTACTATTTACAAAGTGGTTTTAATAACAGATTATTTTAATAAAGCTACTATGCTATCAGAAAAAGCTGCTGAATTACATACCTCATTATTATATATATTAATATATAGCAATATTTTATTTAGTTTTATTAAAAATCTATTTTTTATTTTATTTTTAAAAAACCTATATTCAAGCTATAATTTACTATCAAGATACATATTGTTAAATAGCATAATTCAAGCTAAATATGCACAAATATTAGTAGAAATGATTGTTCAAATTGGAAAAATATGTGATTTAACCCTTTCACTTGACGGATGGACAGATATATCTAATAACTCAATATATGCTTTTCATATAAATTTGAAGATATTAATGAAATTATTAATATAGAAAATTTTTTAATACCCAATATACAGCAGATAATTTACTTGTCACAGTAAAAACTTATTAAAAAACATCTCTATAAGTTTTAATAAAATTATTGCTATAGTTTCAGATAGTCTTTTAGTTATGATACAGCTTTGAAAAAATGTTTTAGACAAATATCAGCATGTGATTAGTATTAAATACTGTTTGCACATTTTTAATTTAATTGCGAAGGAAATTTCATCTTATCAACAATATTAAAACACAATTAAAAAAATTTAGCATTAGTAAATTTTTTACTAGTTCGCATTTTTGGAATATAAAATTAAAACAATAATCTTTAAAAAATAATATTAAACATGGACTGCAAACTTTTTGTGAAACTTGATAGTATTCACTTTCAAAAGTTTGTCTCTCAGTTCAAAATCATGAAGAAGGTTTTCAAAATTGTCTTGAATATAGTATTAACTTTTCTAATGAATGTTCTTCTATTCCAACTAAAATTAAAGAAATTATAACAAGTCGTCGACATTTTCTTGAAAATTAACAATTTATACTCATTATTTGATATATATTTGATGTGATTGCAAAACTTAAATCTAATAATATAACTTTAGGTGATATATTTGCAGAATTATTACTTATTTATAAAAATTAAAATTGAGTGAATTTGAAGATTTTAATTATGGATTGGTAGATTATACAAAAGAAGTAGTTAATTTTTGTGCAAAGAATTTGATGAACCTATATATTATTTAACATTTTTTGAATCTAAAATTTTGCAAAATCGCAGTATCAAAAAAAACTAACCTTTAATAATATGGTAGTTTATACATTGACATTCATGCAAATATGAAATTTTACATGTGATCAAACAAAGCAAAATTTACAAAAATTATTATTAGACTATTATAATAATGAACTATCATTTAATTTAACAACTTTAGAATCATATATATATATTAAAAAAGATTTCTTATCAAACTGGAGCATTAAAAATATTAGAATTAAAAATATTTGCTATTTGTTCTCATTCTGCTGAAGTAGAGTGACTTTTTTCATATATAGGTATGGCAAAAACAAAAATTCAAAATTGATTAGCTACTTCTACATTAAAAATAGTTTTACAAATAAATCTCGCATTATTTAAAGAAATTTTTAAAAAAGACTTAGATAAAAAATTAGTTGCTAAAAAAGAAAATGATAATATTTCAGATAATTATAACACCTTATTTTCTTTTGATTTAATAGATTTAATAAATGAAGAAGATAAAGAGTTAGAATTTGATCATATTCAAGAAATTTGTTTAGAATAATTACCAAATTATTCAGATTTATTTATAAAAAAATTTATTAATTTTGATACTATTAAAAAATTAATATTAACATCAAACAAAGTAAAAAAAATCTAGATAAAGCTGAAAATACAATTAAATTTATTTTTTCACTTAGGCTATCTTGTCTTTAGTCTCCTTTATTACTTTATGATTGTATAGTATTACAAAAGGCTTTAGCATAATATTTAGGAGTGGCATCCTGCAGTTACTTCGAGAGCACTTACAAGCTATCAGCTGTATTGAGCAGATACATCCCTATGAATATATCATGATAAGTTTCAAAATAAAAACACTATCTCTCTCAAACGAACACTATCAGACCACTGCCCTACAATAGGATATCACCAATCTGATG